CACGCGAGTGTCGGCATCGCCCAAACGCGAGTGTCGGCATCGACCAAACGCGAGGGTCGGGGGGCGCTCCCACGCAGAGCTCGAGCTCGCCTGTGCTACCGAAGCTTGCTTGGACCTCGCCAGCAGCTTCGCCTACGTCGACACCCACGCTCACCTGCGCGGTTCTCAAGCTCGCCGGAGCTTCGTCGCCGGCGGAGGTTAGTATCCACCCCCAACTAACAATCTCCCACTTGGAGACCAAACCGACGTCAACAGGCTATCTCATCAAGCTCCTCTCCTGTGTGGCTCCGCCCTCATCATCTATGCATGAAGGCCAACTGAAGTTGCGTACAACTCCAGTTTCTGAATGGTCACCATCTTTGTTAACATATCTGTTGGATTCTTACTTCCTAGAATCTTTTCTAGTTTTAACACGTCATCTTCCAACAGGGATCTGATGAAGTGGTACCGAAGCGCAATATGCTTCGTTCTAGAATGAAATGCTGAATTCTTCGCCAAGTGTATCGCACTCTGGCTATCACTGTGCAAAACATTCTTCTCCTGTTTGAATCCTAGCTCTGTTAACAAACTCTGAAGCCATATCATCTCTTTACTAGCTTCAGTCACTGCAACATACTCAGCTTCTGTAGTGGATAGGATAACGATCTTCTGTACCTGTGACATCCAACTAACAGCTGTAGTTCCGACGGTGAATACATAGCCGGTGGTGCTTCTTCGGTGATCGACTTCACCACCAAAGTCTGCATCTACGTACCCTTGCACTTCCACCTCTCCCTTACCAAAGTGCAAACACTTCTGTGTGGTGCCTCGTAGATATCTCAGAATCCACTTGACCGCTTCTCAATGAGCTTTTCCTGGATTCGACATAAACCGGCTGACCACTCCCACTGCATGGCCAATGTCTGGTCTCGTACAGACCATTACGTACATCAAACTTCCGATAGCTGAGGAGTAAGGGACCTGAGCCATACTCTCTTTCTCTTCTTCTGTTTGAGGAGACTGGTCCTTCGATAGACGAAAATGGCTGGCCAAGGGTGTGCTCACTGGCTTGGCGTCGCTCATGTTGAATCTTTGCAAGACACGGTTGATGTACTCCGTCTGAGATAACTGCAAGAGACCTCTCTTCTTATATCTCGTGATTTGCATTCCAAGGATCTTCTTCGCTGGACCCAAGTCCTTCATGTCAAACTCCTTTGACAGCTGCTGCTTCAAACTCTTGATATCTTTCATATCTGCTCCTGCAACCAACATATCATCAACATACAGCAGTAGGATGATATAACTGGACTGATATCTTTTGAAGTAGCAACAGTGGTCGGCGTTGCACTTCTGAAAACCTTCCTTGTGCATAAAGCCGTCAAACTTCTTGTACCATTATCTTGGGGCTTGTTTCAGGCCATACAAGCTCTTCTTGAGTCTGCACACCAGGTTCTTCTTCTTTTCTTCTGAGAAACCTTCTGGCTGGTGCATGTATATCTCCTCTTCTAGATCTCCGTGAAGAAACGCCGTCTTCACGTCTAACTGCTCGAGATGAACATCTTCAATTGCTACAATACTCATCACGGTCCTGATAGTGTTTAGCTTTACCACGGGAGCAAAAATATCGGTATAGTTAATTCCTTCCTTCTGCTGGAATCCCTTGACAACTAGTCGGGCTTTATATCTTCTGGAACCATCTTGCTCCTCTTTCACCCGGTACACCCATTTGTTGTGGAGTGCCTTCTTACCCGTGGGCAACTCAGCTAGTTCCCACGTCTGGTTTGATATGAGAGACTTTATCTCATCTTTTATGGCAAGCTCCCACTTGCTCGCATCTCCACACTGACAAGCTTCATCATAGCTTTCAGGCTCCCCATCATCTGTCAACAACAGATAGTTCATATATCTTCTGTTGGGTACAGGAGGACGAGAAGATCTTCTTAATATCGGAGCTGGTGTGTCGGGCTCCTGCGCACCATCTTGTCCAACAGGCTCTTCTGGCTGAGGATCTTCTGCATTGGGTTCTTCCGAGAGGTTACTCGGGACATTATCTGCATCTACAAATATTGATTCGCTCTCTGAGTCATCTGTCTTGTGCATGTCCTTATACATCACCTTCTCGTTGAATATCACATCTTTACTGCGGATCACTTTCTTGTTTTCGTTGTCTCAAATGCGGTAGCCGAATTCATCTTCACCATAGCCGATGAAAGTGCATTTCTTTG